GTGACACAGGAACTTCCCATAATGCTGCACCACTATTAGTACCAAGTGCTGTTTAGTAACATATGCCTCCTCTTGCATGTCCGAAGGATGACTTCTTAACCCCTTCAGCAACTCTGCAAAACCTGTTCTACCCAAAGAGATGCTGTGGCTTCGAACCTCCCCGCTCGTGGCACCTTCCTACTCGTCTAGTGGCGCACTCCCTTCACTGAGAGTATTTGCTCGTCAGTGTGGCCTGTCTATCATGTAGCACTTGGCTTGGCCGCAGTACTTAAATACAGACAATGCATTTATGCATACACACCATGTAGTATGTAAATGAGAATGGTGTGAAGTCTAATCTGCCAACTTTTCACACAGCTCTGCCACCTTCAAACTGCATCTGGCAATTTGCATCTGGCAGCCATGCACTTCAGTCAGGCTCTCTCATGAGCCTGGCTGTGAGGTGCCCTGGGGCACCATCCAGTTCCTGACCACCTGGCACAGTGCTCCAACTGACTTCGCTAGCCATTAGGCTTCCCCACTAGATGTGACATCCCCCTGTGCAGAAGCTTCATCCTGTATGCCTAGAGCACAGAACACTACCCGCTGTGTATAGTGCTCAAGTGAATAAACACATGGACCTGCCACCAAACCCTGGTTGCTCTCATCACTACTGGGGTAAACTTGCAAAGGTAGCAATCACTGCGTTATTAGAGCCAACTGTGGTGTGGTGTGCCTATAATCCCAGCACCTGGAGGCTGAGGCAGACAGATCACATTCAGACTGGCATGGAAAACATAGTAAGTTCAAGACTTGGTTCGCACGGTGAGTTCTGGAACAGGCGGGCCTACTTAATAAGACCTTGTCTCAGAAAAACCTACAGAAACAAAAAGGATGTCCTTTATGACAATCTGAAATCATATGGGTGCCACTACTCACCGGTCAGTTTTGGGATGGACATGGTCCACAGTTGCAACCCATGAGTTATGAATGGCAGCTGGAACATCTCAAAGCCAGGCCCTGCTCTGAGAGCGACCTGGCCCCATTCCCTAGGGGACCAAGACACTGGTGTCAAGATGAAACAGTCCTTGGAATAATGCCTTGCACAGTAAACTGTGCCAGAGAAAACTCCTGGTGGAGAATTTGCCAACCAAGCCTAGAACCCGTGTGAATGGCAACAGGCTAACTGTAGGCACTTAACAAAATTGCTTTCTGTTATTTCAAAGAGGAATAACAGCATTCAAGGCTTAATTAGAGCATACTGGAGTATGAACAGGACTGTGCCTCCCTCGTGTGATGTATTTACACGGACAGAGTAGCTACAGACGTGCTGTAGAGTTGCAGTTTCTGAGTGGTCCTCCACCTGGTCCTCCATCACTCCAAGCCCTGGTCACCGGGAGTGTTCCAGGCACGTGCTGATTGGCATGCTCTTCTCTCTTTGCCCAGTGGGTACCACCTACTCAGGATTTGTCACCTCCTCTACAAAGCCTTTGTTTACTGCTCCCGGAGCACATCATCACTCTTCCCAACAGATGACACTTGCTGCAGGTGTCAGTACCTACCATACCATCTAAATGCCAGACCCAGGGAGGGTCATCAAGTCATTCCTTCAGGGAATTCTGCCAATAACTACACAAATGCAAATCGGAAAAGGGCTAAGAGGGGTATAATGAGGTACAAGAGACCCTCTCCAGCCAGGCAGAGATAGCAGGAAACCAAGATGTCTGTGGAGATGACTTAAAATGGTTCCTGAGAGCCGGGCATGGTTGCACATACCTATAATCCTAGCATTTAGAGGTCAAGGCAAGAGGATTTCAAGTTAAGGCCAGCCTGGGCTACATATGGATAGTCAAAAAGTCAGAAGGAACACCTCCTCCCCTCGGGAAATAAAAACAACCCACCCTGGTACCTAAGAGATGAGTAGGAATTATTCATGCAGAGCAGAAAGAATGTTTTAGGCAGAAAACACGTGTATGAAACTGCCAACAGGAAGAGAGCCACATGGAGGCCCTGCCACCTGGCCTCAAAGGTCTGGGAAGGCAATGTGAAGCCAGGGGCAGTCCTCAAAGGTACCAGGCACTCAAAATCAAAGCCGTTGGTTTTTGACACATACCCCCTCCTGCTCAGAAGGGTCTCAGGACATCTTACTTGCTCTCCCTGTGTCCTGGGCAACACCACCCCTAACACACAGTGTGTACACACTGGGTGCTGTTGGGCTGCATTGTCCCCAGAGCAGCAGCAAAGAGACCTGCCTCTGCACATGCCCACCCCGCCAGCGAGTCCCCAGTTGGCTTGCCTAACTGAAGCAACCGGGGACTGGTTAACCACAAACACAGTGATAAAAACCAAGGCTGCAATGACAGCAGCTGCAAGAGCAACAGTTACGTCCTTGACAAATGTCACCAACAACTCCACTGGCAGATGTGACCACCACATGCTTCTTGGACACTAAATTCTAGAGTAAACTTCAATCAGACGGTAACGCTAGTCTAAGAGGGCCTGCCAAAATCAGAGGCCCCAAGATTAAATGATCAGTGTGAAGTTAAAAGCAGTCTCCAAGACTTAGTAGTTTCTCAAATAATTTTTTAAAATAATGTCTAAGATGAAAATACAACTAAATTGGCATGAATATTCAAGTCACTTGGGTACTTCATGAGACAGTCCTTGTCCCAATTCAGAGTTCTCATATACTTTAAGAACACACAGTTCATATCACCCTTCAAGTACCTGATTCCTAGTTAATGGATTCTGACTATTCTCCACGAATACTTACTAAGTCAAGGCAGCCTTTGGGTTTCCTTTATGGGACAGGTTTGGAAGTAAAAGCATACCACATATAATTAGAGTATATTTTTTGAAGAAGAATAAACAAGTCATTGTCTTAGTGCTGTATGAATTTTTTAATTTATGTTAGTAGGCATTTTGCCTACATGTATGTCTGTGTGCCTAGTGCCTGTGGAGGCCAGAAGAGGGCACTGGATCCCCCAGAACTAAAGTTACAGTTCTGAGCCACCATTTGAGTGGTGGGCATCAAACAAAGGACCTCTGGAAGAGCAGCAGTGTTCTTGATTGCTGAGCCATCTCTCCAGCTCACGTGTGAACTTCATGTTGGTATTCTGAAGAGATCTGCATACTTCCCTCTGGTGAGGATGAAGGACTGCGGGGATGAGAGGTGGCAGCTCGTGGAAGAGTGCTGGCTCAGCACGTGCCAGGACTGCCCATGAGCCTCGGCACCACCAGCAGTGCGACAGAACTCTTCCACAAGGCTGTCACAAGTGCTGTTCCCACCTGGTCACCAGTCTCTCCTTCCCTCGTCCTGCTCACTGGTGCACTCTAGACCCCGCTGTCGCTCTGGTTCTTCAGAGCCCACCCTCTATTACTAATTGTACTTTATATTGCCATGTACTTCATGGAATTGATGAAAATTCTGGGGTTTTTGTGGTTATTTTGTTTTTTGTTGGTTTGTTTTTGAGACAAGGTCTGGCTGTCCTGGAACTCGCCCTGTAGACCAGGCTAGCCTTGAACTCACAGAGATCTACCTGCTTCTGCCTCCTGAGTGCTGGGATTAAAGCCTCTATTATATTCTTTTGGTTAACACTTCCCCTTTGAAGTACAAGCTCTGCCCCTTTTCCATCTGCTAAGAACCATCTTAGTGTTCCACTTGGTATACAGTATGCACTCGATACTTGTTAGATCTTGTTATATAAACTTGATGGCTTGGTATACAGTAGGTACTTGATACTTGTTAAATGATTAGCTGCTTTTCTTTAGAGTCTGCTAAAGGTGGTTTCTAAGCCTTTGGCTAATATCAAATATAAAGCTGGTTTGCTCAGTACTGGCTCCTGGTTTCCTGGGATCTAGACTGCTCATCACATCTTGCTGAGCAGACGGCCTTATTGTGGCACTGGCCACACTGTTGAGTGTGGCTCTGGAGCACGCACAGTGCTGATTGCTTTCACTGTATTGCTAATCTTCAAAAGGGCTCTGCTCTATTTTCACCCCACTCCTAGATAGGGGCTCCAAAATCCAGAGAAGAAGAAAATCCAGAAGAATTCTTCATATTCACTGAGCTAGAGAACAAAGTCAATGCTAGAATTCAAACACAGCTCAAGAATCCTACGTCTGGGGTTTTGGGGGTTTTAATGAGAACCATCCCCCATAGGCTCACAGTCCCCAGCTGGCAGCTGTGGAACTTTTAGAACTTTGGGAACTTTGAGGAGTTTGGCTGGAAGAAATATGTCACTGGGGCTGGGCTCTAAGATTTACAGCCGTGCCCACTTCCACTTCTTCCTCTCTGCTTCCATGTGTGGCTGAGACTAATCTTTGAGCTTCCTGCCATGACGAACTCTCACCTTTGAAACTGTAAACCAAAGGAAAATCTTCTATAAGTTGTGCTGGCCATTGACTTTTATCACAACAGAAGGGGAGCTAAACCAAGGTTCCTTCTGTTGGTCCCATTTTTCTGGAGGAGGTGTGCGACCTGCTGAGGTTCACCCAGCATGTCTTGGGATATGAGAATCTGCAAGACACGAGGCCCGATTTTGATATTTTGGTTTCTTAATGATAAACAACATGACATTTTTTTTTAAAAAAGAGACATGGGTATATCTTAAACTGTATAATGTATAATATCTTCAAAACAACTTTATAAAACAAAATATCAAGTTAAAAATTTTCATGCCTCTTGCCCCAGGCCCAAGTACCTCAGGTTAGAACCTGCCACAAAAACATGACACACATTTTTTTTGTCTCTTTCTTTCCTTCTGTTCTTCTCTCCCTTTGATGATGTTGGGGAATCAAAGACAGGGCCTTGCACAAGTTAGGCAAGAACTCTACCACTAAGCCACACCCCCACCTGTCACTCTCATTGCTGTATGTTTTGGATGTCAGTATTACAACTCAGTGCTGATGTTCTCCTCTAACTACAACATCTTCGACAGTGAGAGAAAACCACGCATGTCAGTTACTGGCGAGTCTCTTTAAAAGGCACTAATCAATTACAAGGACACTTTTCTGTAGATACAATAAATCTGATTGATTTTTATTACATATCTTAGTTTAGAATCACTTTTACATCGCTAGACAAAGAGATAATACAAATAAATATCAATTGTAAAACTTAAAAGTCCCAAGTATTGGCATATCCTTTGTCTAAAGACAGCCTAAGAGAAGGTCAAGATCATTAGTAACTCCAAAGAGCCATCAAGCCCCCGCCTTCTGCCTGCCCACATCATTCCCTTCATAAATAACCTCAGAAGCATTTTTATTCAAGAGACAGACAGAGAGGAAGGTGCCAGAATCCCAAAGTACCAGACCAAGACTTGAATGATAACTGTGGGGCTGACTATCTTCCCTACCTCCCTCTGAGCTTTGCTTTATGGCTTTCAGAGTACATTAGTAGCCCATTTCATCCATGATGGTGTCTGGATGGTCCAAGGTGTTCACAGTGCTCCTCAAACTCGAGAGGCAAAGGTGAGGCAGAACTGGATAGCCTATGTTAGCAAGGAGTCGACGCTTCTCAGGAACTTGGCAGAGTCTACATTCAGTGAGGGAGGACTTAATAAGATAAGGAAGGGCAGACAGGCCCACGCCTGAGCTGTACCACACTCTGGCACCCTGGGTCATGGAGGTGTGGGTGGAGCAGTTCAAGCAGCATGCAGGCATCCGACAGGGGGCAATTCAACACAGGTCAGTCTTAAGAAAGTGCTTCATGCCTATGATTTGTGGCCTCTGATTCTGAATCTAGCGGTCTGGAAATTGTGTCATATGAAGCCAGATACATTCTACAGATGAGAGGGAAAGAGAGTCTGATGAGGATTGTATGTGTAGCTGCAAACACCTCCCGGATGGTCTTCTTAGATCCTTTTAAAGACTTGCTTCTAGGCTACAACAGCTGCTGCAGGCATGAAGGCCTTCCAGCATCCCAGAACATTCGAGCTAACAATCAGTATAAAGCTTTGGTCCCTCAGAGAGCTGGTATGTTCTCTACTCTTGGCTCAATCCAGAACTCAAAGCAGCAGCATTCTGGGGGCAGCAAGACATTTTAGCATCTGCTCTTTTCAATATCGGATCCATGTTGAGAGAAGAGAAGCACCAGAGGCTGCCCCGGAAGAGACAGCTTCATTGCCACATGGGTGGCCCTTCTACTTGGTTTCCACAGACCACTGTAGGAACACAGCTGGGGACAGGGCAAAGCTTGCTTTAATAATCACGACTGTCAGCTGGCTTTCTTCTTTTGTTTCTCTGGAAAAGTTCTGTAGATCACTTAACCACCACCACCTCCAACATATTCTCCAACACTTCAAAAGACACCAGTATTAAGGTATAGTATTACCTGAAGTTTCCAATCCTTTGCTTTGTTGCATGAATGTTTTTAGCCTACAGAATTCAGACTAACTGTGTGGAAATGTGGTAAGAGAGACAGTGTCACCAGCAGACAGCCACCTTAGACCACACATCTCGTCATTTGGTTCCTATTCAAACAGGCAAATTCTTAGTACATAAGGAGCAGGGTTTGAGCCCAAGGAAAGATAAAGACAGGTTCCATTATACCCTAGGAACTGCTGTATAGGGCTCCAGGCTCAGAAAGAATGATCACTAACATGGGGATAAATGGATCTCCATTCTGTAGAATGTCAAGACATTGCACCTGCTAGCTCCTCCTTCCCATAGGTTCTGATCCGGAAAGGATATGGAGACTGAGCAGCTGAGTTAAAAATGCATCTCAAGGCCCACTTGAGTTGCCATCTTCCTGAGGCACCATGCCAGCAAGGTGCACCAGTGTGGCAGACTTGCGGACTCAAGACCGTCCCCTCAGGCTTGGATCATGGACTCAGACACACACGGGGGCGTGCTTCTAGCCTGATTAGCCATCCAGTGGCCTTCACCACAGACGAAGGCAAAGGCTGCACGCTGGAGTATTTCTAAAACGGGCAAATCTTCAGTCTCGCTCACAGATGATGAGAGCACAGACATCACTGCACACACAGCCCCCCACGCTCACGCATTTCTCTCGGGGGTGGGGGGATGAGTAACTGTCACCTAATGACCAAAATAAAGCTCGAGGTGCCAGAATATGAAGAACTAAAACTTACACACTGAACTAATCTATGTAAACAGGAAGTGTGAACTCTCCTCCGAGTCTACTCTCTCAGAGCCTCTTCTTGCCAGCACCTAGGGGAAGCACACCTCCAGCAGTCAGTGGGCCTTCTGCTCTAGACAGACAGGATTCCTTTGCTTCCGTCTCTGTCTTCCCTTCCCTCTGCTGAGTCTCCTGCCTCCAGCTCTGCATCTGCCTACTCATTCTGCCCCCGTGACCAGCATGGACCCAACTGGGCAATTCAGAAGTGCCCCCAATTCCAGTCCCATCAGAGAAGGCAGAGCCAGCCCCTCCTCCCACAGAGACCCACTTCGAAGCACATTCCATAGGCGCACTCTGAAGGAGGGTCGACACGAGCCCACTCAGCATGTGGACTTGGAGGAAGACGGCGACAAAGGAAGAGTAAAGTGACATGGCAGATGGACATGGCACTGGTTTATAGACTTAGGTCTTTAACAGGATGGTCATGGTTTTGAGGTTTTAAAAAAGCTATTTCCCCAAACTCTCCCAGAAGGCAAAGGGAATGTCTTTTCTATTGCTTCCAACACCAAGTCCTTCTGGAGCAGGAACTGGAAGCCATTGCCCCGTTCAACAGATTCCACAGGCAGATCTACTCCTACTGAGGGGCCTGGGAGCTGGCTCGCTGATTGTGCCATCCTAGGACTTGGTTCCAAGTGAGATCTCTCATTTCACCTGACAAAAGCAGGCACCTATTGCAGTTCTACGGCTGTCACTTCCCAGCTCCACTGTCATTTTACTCCAAGGCTCCTCACATATGGTCCTAAGGAGGCCTCGACGCCATATTGTGTAACAAGAAGGGATCCTGGTGTGAGGAAGAGGCTAGAAGAGAGGAGAGGAAGGGAGGGTGGGAATGGGAGGAAGAAGGAAAGCAAGGCTGTGGTCATTCTCTTGCTGTCCACTTGGACTTTGCACTTCACCTTACCCATGCATTTCTGAGATGCTAATTCAAGGACACGTCCCAGAGGAGCTGAGTGCCAAATCAGGACCAGCATGTTCAGGCAGAATGAGTCGCTTAATCTGCAAAGAGGCCATCTCTTCTCCTCAGGGGAACGGTTCTGCGTTTAGGCTCAAGTCATCTCTGCAGTTTCGTGCTTGCTCTTCTCTCAGAAGACAATGCTGTTCCCACCCTGGGAGGGGGTGCTGGGTTACTTAGGAACCAGCCCCCGAGACTGTGGGTAAAACTGAGATGCAGGGTTTCCTGAGGAGGAAGAGGAGGATCCTGACTTCCTGCCACTCTTGGGCCTGCAAAAGTCAAATGGACATGGCCATTACTAACCAGCATGCAGATCTGAAGGTGGCCTTTCCTCAAAGGCCCGAAAACCAGGATTCTTTGAACTATAAACTCACTAGACTAGACCAGCATGACCTGTTGGGCCTGGCCAACCCACCTTCCAGAAGAGGCACAAAACCTAAAAGGGGGGCTTGGATGCTCAGCACTGTAGGCCAAATGAACACGGGCTGGGAGCAGGGCCTCCTGAGGGCCGGGATTAAAGTATTCACTGTCACACCTGGCTCACACATGCTTTCAGACACGGGTCGCTAGAAGCCACTCACCTGGCCTTGGGTTTTCTGTTTGCAGTGCTTTCAAAGGATGATGCATCCACCTGTATCTCATCTTCATCCTGCAGAGCTGCATCTAGGGCAGCCTGGACCTTGGGGGAAATGGCTGGGCCCTCATAATCTCTGGTCGTCCGGCTGGGCATGTCCAACTCCAGGAGCATGATGTTCTCCGCCTGCAGCAGAAGCACAGCAGCCATCAGCAAGGCCAAGGAAGCCAGACAATCTCTGAGATCAAAACTGCAAGCTACTTGCCATTAAAAGCCTCCCAGGAGGGCTGGCCAGACGGCTCAGCAACTAAAGGTGCTTGCCACCAAGCCTGATGTCCGGAGTTTAGTCCTTGGAGCCCACAGAGTAGAAAGAATTGACTCCCACCAAGTTGTCCTCTGGTCTGCACACATATGTACCATGACACACGTGCATCCAAACATATACAAATAAATGTGATAGAAAAAAATGTTTAAAAAGAGCCTGCCTAGGATCTCTATGAGTTCAAGGCCAGCCTGGTCTCAGAGGGAGTTCCAGGACAGCTAGAGCTGTTACACAGAGAAACCCTGTCTTGGGGGAGGAGGGACCGGCCTAAAATGATAGCGTTGCATGTGTCTACACATGTAAATACCACAACTCATGTATATTCATCACTCGATGAACATTTGATTGGCTCTGGCTTCTGAATATTGAACAAAGCTGCAATGACGATTCATTGTATGCAAGTCCTCATGTGAACATGTGTCCTAGTTTCGTTTCTATTGTGTGACCAATGCAATGACCGAAAACAACCTGAAGAGGAAAGAATTTGATATTATCCTTCACGATTCTAGTCCACCATTGAGGAAAGCAGGCCTGCTCGCTGTTCCATACAGCATTAACTGGCCAGGACACATTAACAGTGAAGGAGTACAGTGGGAATGGAGAGATGTTGCTGGCTGGCCAGCTCACTTGCTGCCTCATACCTGGCTAGCTTTTTTTAAAAAAAAAAATATTTATTTATTTGTTTGTTTGTTTATTTATTTATTTATTATACAATATTTTGTCTACATGTATTCCTGCAGGCCAGAAGAGGGCATCAGATCTCATTACAGATGGTTGTGAGCCACCATGTGGTTGCTGGGAATTGAACTCAGGACCTTTGGAAGAGCAGGCAATGCTCTTAACTGCTGAGCCATCTCCCCAGCCCCCAACCTGGCTGGCTTTTTTATATAGCCCAGGGACACCTACCTAGGGATAATGCCAACCAGAGTGGGCTGAGTCTCCTGCATCAATTAACAATGAGGATGACACCCACAGACATGCCCACAGGTCAATCTGATCTACACAGTTCTTCAATCAAAGCTTCCCTCCAGACGACTCTAAGCCGTGTCGAGTTGACAAAGCTAACTAGGACATGCTTCGGTGTAAACACAACATCCGATGTGTACTTAAAATAATGCATGTTTTGAATTATATAAGGGGGTGCGGAGAGTGAGCTAAGTGTTTCACAGATGTGTGTTAGACTTAATCTGTCTATACCATTGTTCAGATCTGGTTCCCTTGTTAATTACTTGTTGAGTTATTCTATCCATCAGTACAGACGTGCTAGTGAAGCCGCCTACTATTACATTTGACCTTTCTGTTTCCCCCTTTGCTTGGCTCAGTCTGGCTTCATGTACCTGGGCTTTTCAGGATACATGATTGTATCTTAACCTCTGAGCCATCCCTCCAGCCCCAGTTAACCTAAGTTTAATACCCAGGATTCACACGGTGGAGGGGAAGAACTGACTCATGTCCTCTGACCTCTACATGCTGATGATGGTGTGCCTGAGTGTGGTTTCTGGGGCTTGAACTCAGGTCCTCCTGCTCAAAAGACAAGCACTTTACTAAATAAGTCATCCCTAACCCCTGCCTTTCCATTTAGTATTCATCACCTGCATGCTATTTCAGATATTATTTGTTAAAATTATTATTATTATTATTATTATTTATTTATTTATTTATTTATTTTTTGGTTTTTCGAGACAGGGTTTCTCTGTGGTTTTGGAGCCTGTCCTGGAACTAGCTCTTGTAGACCAGGCTGGTCTCAAACTCACAGAGATCCGCCTGCCTCTGCCTCCCGAGTGCTGGGATTAAAGGCGTGCGCCACCACCGCCTGGCATTTGTTAAAATTATTGCACATGTTCTCAGATCTCCAGGAAAGTCAGGTACACACACTGTGACATGGCATAATGGTGTCTGAGAACTTCTCAAACCTAAACTCCCTGAAAGAAACACACACACACACACACACACACACACACACACAGTGAGTTAAAATGTTTTCTGCGAAGCCTAACAACCTGAGTTTGATCCCTGGGACTCACATGGTGGAAGAAGAGAACCAGCTTCCACAAACTGTCGTCTGACACTTGCTGTAGCATGCGTGTGATACCTCCCGATCCCCACAAACACACATGCACATATGTAAAAAATCACTGTCATTTAAACAATTTTTAAAAATCCATGAACAGTCTTCTGTTGAAGAATATAACTTAGATGTGTTACATTAATTTATGCTGTGGAACATTTATTTAATGATGCAAAGATGTGTTGCATTTGTTCAACTTTGTGAAGCTGTGTTACTTTGCCTGTCTAAAACACTGACTGGTCTAATAAAGAACTGAACAGCCAATAGTGAGGCAGAAAAAAGGTTATTTTCTCTGGTAAACAGAGACAATAAATAGAAGAAATCTGGGAAGAGAAGATCAAGGAGCAAGAGAAGGAGGAGGACTTGAGGGGCCAGCCACCTAGCTACATAGCAAGCCACAGAGTAAGAAGTAAAGAAAGGATAAAGATAAAAGCCCAGAAATTTAAGAAAAGCTGGCTAGAAATAAGCCATGCTAAGGCTGGGCATTCATAAGAAAGAATAAGATTCCGTGTGATTTATTTGGAAACTGAGAGGTAGGCCCCCCAAAAAGCAAAGAACAAGTTGGGCAGTGGTTGCTGTGGGACAATGGTCTGTACCCTGTCACTTGTATTTTAAATAAACACTGACTGGCCAGTAGCTAGGCAAGAAGTATAAATGGGGTGACCAGGCAGGAAGTAGAGGTGGGGCAATGAGAATTCTGGGAAGAAAGAAGTTTCAGTCTGCAGTCGTCACTCAGACACAGAAGAAGCCAGACACAGAGCAAGCAAGATGTGACTGCCTCACCAAAAAAGATACCAAGCCACCTGGCTAACACAGACAAGTATTATGGGCTAATATAAGTTATAAGAGTTAATAAGAAGCCTGAGCTAATAGGCTGATCAGTTTATAATTAATGTAGGCCTCTGTGTGTTTATTTGGGACTAAACAGCTGTAGCAATCAGGCAGGACAGAAACCTCAGCCACCAAGTGGTGGCACATGCGTTTAGTCCTAGCACTTGGGAGGCAGAGGTAGGCAGATCTTGTGAGTTCAAGGCCAGCCTGGTCTACAAGCTAGTTCCAGGACATCTAGGACTGTTACACAGAGAAACCCCATCTTGAAAACCAAAAAAAGATAGAAAAAGAAAAGAGCAAAGAGTAAAAAAACAACTACAGTCTTCTCACCCTGTATCGGGGTTCTGGCCGAATCATCATGGACATCCGTGCGTGCTGGCTCAGGGGTCTCTTGTATCCCACAGCAGAGACGGGCCGCTTCATCATCTGCTGGCTCCTGAAAGCAGATGATAGTGGTTAAGGCCCTGCTGGAATATGCCCCACAGGCCAGGACCAGGCCAACAGGATAAGCACTCAGAGAGTACTCTGAGAAGTACTCCAAGCCAGAGAGAACTGAAAGCAAGAACTTCTGGGACTAAGGCTGACAGAAGCCATGTGCTAACTTCTTAGCTTTTTTGCTTGAGGTGCCAACTGATCCAGATGATCAGGCCTCCTTTAACCTGAAAGGGACCCCAGTCACTGTCTTGTTCTCAGACAGCAGATAAGCATAGCTATCAGCACTGCTATCCCTGCTTCCTCGACAGACAGCTCCACATCTCCAGCATGGTCATGCTCCAGGTGTAGACTGACATACAAAATAACCCTTCTGTCCTAGCACACCTCAGCCGACAGGGAAAAGGAAGACTGGAGGTCATGGGAAACTGTAACTAACTGTTCTAATATCATGATTGGACCCAGCTTGTACCTCCTGGGCCTGTAGCTCCCACAGAATTAGGCAGGCAGGTTCCAAGTTTCAATGCATTCTCCCCACATCCCAGTAGCCCGGTCCCATCATGCAACATTCTTTTGTTTTCCCACCAGCAAGTCTGCTTCAGATCAGCAATGACTCACCCCAGTCTGGTAAGAGGGTGTAATTTCCAGTGGTCTTCTTCATCATCAAAGAAGGACCTATTCATAATTTTATTCTTCTCTTCCAAGGGGATAAAGTTTTCTATAATAAGATGCCTGTAAGAATACACATAGATAAATACACATAAAGAATGCACACAGAACTAAGCAAAGGCACAGACCTATAGTCAGCTACCTGGGAAGGTGAGGCAGGAGGGTCCCTTGAGTATATGATGCCATTCTGGGCTAGAGTGAGATCCTTTCTCCAAAAACAACAACAAAATAAGAGTAAGAGTCAAAGACACTCAGCAAACATTAAACCCTACACAGTTAAGACACAAACATGAAAGACACTTGGTCCTTACCTGATAAAAGAGGTAACAGGTAACAGTACAGCATCAGCAGGTGCTAATTGTAATTGTGATCTGTGTCAGGAATATGGAAAGGACACTCCTACCCAGGCAGAGTAAGGATGTGAGTGGACAGTGTGTGTGTGTGTGGTGGTGATGGTGGGGGGTGACACAGAAGCCATGCTAGGGCAAACATTTGTTTCCCAAAGTATCTGTAAGTGGGCCTGCTGCAGTGCTGAATACAGGACAGAAGGAAATGGCTCCACCCAGTCCTGTGACTTGCTGCCCAAGCTGGAACACTGTCCATTCTAATCATCCAGGATAGTAAGATGGGCTGAATGGAAGTTCCTACCAACACCAAAATAAAGATGATTCCTGAGCTTCTGCCTGACCAGGGACCGAAAAGAGCATCAAACAACCCTTTTCTCCTACTGGGCTGTCTCATCCAGCCTTAATAGGAGAGGAGGTGCCTAGGCTCAGTGCAACTTGATATTCCTTGGTTGCCTGATATTCATGGGAGGGCTGGCCTTTTCTGAAGAGATGAGGAGGAGGAAAAGAGGTAGAGGAAACTGTGGTAGAGACATAAAACCAAAAAAATAAATAAATACCAAACCAAAAAAAGAAAAAGAACATGCTTTTAATCTCAGTACTCAGGATGCAGAGGCAGAAGTAGGCAGAGCTCTGTGAGTTCAGTGCCAGCTTGGTCTGCTTAGTGAGTTCCAGGTCAGCCAGGACTACACCATGAGAACTTGTCTCAGAAAAAAAAAAAAATCCAAAGATGGCTTATTGATTGGTTAAAATACTAACATCATCTCAGCATTGATTTTTCATTGTTGTTTGGTTGTTCTTGTGTTTTGGGTTTTCAAGGCAGGGTTTCTCTGTGTAGCTTTGGAGCCTGTCCTGGAACTAGTTCTGTAGACCAGGCTGGCCTTGAACTCACAGAGTTATGCTTGCCTCCCAAGTGCTGGGATAAAGGAAAGGCGCGCGCCACTACCGCCTGGCTATTGTTTGTTTTTAAGACAAGCTCTCACTGTACAGTCTGGGTTGGGTTTGTGATCCTCATGCCTCAACCTTCCAAGTGCTCAGATGACAGACATGCTGCTATACTTTATCACCTACAAAGCATTAAAAAATATATTGCTCAGGGGCCTGGGGAAGCAGCGCAGTTGGCAAAATGCTTGTATGATGCCTTAGGTTTGATCTCCAACACCACATAGAGTAGGCATGATAGCACATACCACTAGGAGTTCAAGGCCATCCTTAGCTACACAGCAAATTTGAGACCAGACTGAGCTACATGAGACTCCATCTCAAAAAAAGATGTTCAGACTTCAAGAGAACAATAGTTCTTATAGTGCTCTGGTTGACAAGTATGAAGGTGTTCATTTGGCCAATCAAAAAAAAGGTAATTAAAGATTCTCTCTTGAGTGACAGGTGAGACCAGAGAATCTGAAAGAAGCCAAAGATAAGGGTGAGGGAACGGGAAGAGCACGTGGTGACCTCACAGACAAGGACTGAAATGAAAAGTGACTTTGTCAGGAGCATCAGCAGGCAGTGGGTGGCAGAGGCTGAGCTGGCAAGAAGCAGGTGGGCTGTCTTGGGATGGGTCTTCTTGGACCCAGGGGATGGCAGGACCCTGCTGACAGCTACTCACTTGAGCTTAAGCTCCCTGGTGAGCTCGTTCTGCGTCTGCTCCAGTTCCTGGCGCTCCTTGATGTGTTCTTCTTGCAGGTCGTGGATCTCAGCCTTCACAGCCTGGAGCTTGGAAAAGAGCTGGAGCCAGGGGGACACAGGTGAGGAAAGGCTGGGCAAAGAAGGTGCACCCTCCCTCAGGGTCCCCAGCACCTCCACCTCCTACCTTTTTGAGCTTTTTGGTCTTGATGTCTACCTCCTGCTGCAACGAGGTGTAAGTCTCTTTTAGTTCCAAGGTTTCCTCGTCTCGACTTTCCATTTGCTGCTGGATTTCTCTTTCTCGACGTTTCTGAGCGATACCACAAAATTCATCAGCTTGCCCTAGCGACCATGTCTACACAGTATGGGTCTGGATGCTCCCAGTCGGTCTCCGGCTAGCAGGGGGCTGCCAGCTTCTCTCTGCTCCCTCTGAAGCTGCTCTCATACCACAGGTGTCAGCTCTGTGGCCTCAATCACGTCAGTCCACGCCTTCCTCCCCACGTAAGAACGCAAAGTTACCTGCTCTGCGATCTCCTGGCGCTTCTGCTCCAAGATCTTCTGCTGTTCATTTGTATGATCTACTATATTTTTTCCTCCAACAAGCAGCTTACTCTCCATGGCCTGAGTGAGAAACAAAGTAAAATCCATCCTGTGGTCTCCCCCGGAACAACATATCCCTCACAGGAAGACTGGAAGGATACTCTCTTGACTAAGCATGATGGTGCGTGCCTATGGTCCCAACATTCAGGAGGCTAAGGCTGGAGGATTACAAATTACAGGCCAATCTGGGCTACATATTGAGATACTGTCAAAAAAAAAAAAAAAACCACTCTCCCAAAACAAATAAAAACTACTCTGGAGAAAAATACATGCACACTGTCCAGAACAGGATGGGACTTCATTCTGATGACACTGAAGGTCTGGCTGTTTGAGATATTATGGCTTTCAGAGTTTGTTAGTTTGTTTCTTTTTTAAACAAGTCCTTTATCGGTTGTTTATCCAGAACACTAATCCCACTCTAGACACACTAAATCTATCTGGTGCGCTACAGACTAGAGATGTTTCTGTCAGTGAGGACCATAAGGCCCAGAGCCCGCCGAGGGACACAGACAAATAAGCAGGCTTTAAGCAGATGGCATGGGATGTCACTGTGAGGAAACTCTGAGAAGCTAGTGGGAGGGGGAACGGGAGAGGAGTCAGGCTTTGGGGGAAGTTGGAGACAGCTTCCTGTCTGAAGGGACAGCTACACAAAAAGCTGAAGTAAGAATTTCCTAAGAATAAAAAAGGCTTTTGTTTGCAAGAGTAGAATAAGGAAGTTGACAAAACCAGTAGAGGTTAAAGCAAAAGCCTCAGAACCCTGTTTAAAAAAATCCCTGTTTGATCCTGAGAGCCTCAAGGAGCACGAGTGCACAGGCAAACTGGGTTTTAAGATTGCACCCCATAGCAGGAGAAATTTCTGGAAGAGGGCATGCTGACGGAGTGCAGGCAAGAGGCCACTATACATTGTGTGAGTGTGAGAGAGTGTGTGAGTGTGTGTGTGTGTGTGTGTGTGTGTGTGTGTGTAGCAGTAGCTTGGTTTCAAAGGCCCTAATAATGATGTGGTGTGGTGTGGTGTGGTGTGGTGTGGTGTGGAATGGTGTGTTTATGTGTGTGTATGGTGGTAGCTAAGTTGCAAAGGCCCTGATGAGGTAAAAGCAAGAAGCCTTGGGACTGAGGAGATCACAAAAAGAGAGGGAGGAAGAGCACGCGAGGACAACTCCTAGGAGTCTAGCTTCACTGAGGTAAGGAAGGTGGAAGGCTGTTCTGATGGCACTGGTCAACAGAAGGCCGTGGAGCCTGGGTGCCAGAAGGCAGCTATGGGCAGGCTGTACAGACTGAGAGGCGTCAGCGTGTAGATGAAGCTAAGCCAGGGGAACGAAAACCCAGAAACCAAAACCTCCTCTGCCTTGCTCTTAAGAAACTTTAGTTAGTTGGTCAGTGGTGGCACACGTCTTTAATCCCAGCACTCAGGAGGCAGAGGTAGGCAGATCTCTGAGTTCAAAACCAGTCTGAAAAATCAAAAAAAAAAAAAAAAGGAAAAGAAAGAAATGAAACTTTAGCTGGGGTAAGATGCATGGTGATGAGACACCTTTAATCTCAGTACTCATGAGGCAGAGACAGATTTCTATGAGTTTAAGGTCAGCTTGTTCTACATAGTGAACTTCAGAGCCAGAGCTACACAGTGAGACCACATTGCAGAAAGGCTGGAGGGGAGGGGAAGGAGAGAACATGGATATATTTTAGAGAAGAAATTAAAATTTGTATAAGTTCAGTAAGAAAGAACCCATGGGCAGCCCTAGTCTGGGCACCCAAGGAAACAGTGCACTGTACTAGATTAAAGACTAGCTGAGGACTCTCCATACTCTACAGTGCTGTCCAGCATCTGCAGAGCAGGTGTCAGCACGTCAGCAATAGGGCTAAGACCCCCCCCACCACCAATGAAGAGAACAGCACAGGGAAATTGACGGGAGCTGCGGGGAGGGGGGCAGAACTAAGCAGCAGTAAACAACAGGGTGCCGGCTAACATCCCACAAAGACACTGTTCTACCTCACTACTATACAAAAGTTAGTCAGATAATCACCACTATGGGTAGGATGAGGAGTAAAGTGGGTGCTTCAAAAGCTTCCCTCTAGACCCTGGCCGTGGTGGCGCACGCCTTTAATCCCAGCACTAGGAGGCAGAGGCAGGCGGAACTCTGAGTTCTCCACCAGCCTGATCTATAGAGCGAGTTCCAGGACAGCCAGGGCTCCACAGAGACACCCTGACTCAAAAAACGAAAAGAAAAAAAGATTCACTCTAGAATCTAAGGGTGCCTGCAAGTCTCCTGGAGTCAGGCGCAAGAATGGTCACAGCAGAACACGGGGACGGCCCATCCGAGGGGAATGGAATGTCACAGAATATTCAGAACGGTAACAGTAATAAACATGACTAGAGGCTTCAGTCCGGGTTCTTAGGGACGATCGCTGGTAAATAAAAGCAAACGTGATAACACCTTAAGTAAATGCGAAAGTAGACAGATGCTACAGGAGACAAAAGCAAGGCAACAGCATCACTGGTTTGGAAGGGCGAACACAGGAGCATCTAAGGAAATGGACACTGAGGCTGTGGTTTGTCCCATGATGGCACATGCCCGTGCTCATTCTCGGCTACGATCAAGTTCAAGGCCAGCCTGCACTATGTGAGGCCCTGCCTTTAAAAAAGAAATGCTGCGCAAAGTGGTGTGCACCTGTAACCCTAATACTGTCTATATAATATATATATTATATATATATATATATATATATATATACATCAAGACACTGATTCAAAAATACAAACAGAAACATCAAATAATCAAAATGATACCTACTTTCTCAAAGAAAAAAAGAGAGATAAGAAAAGAGGGCTGTCCTATTCCTCACTGGAAGCGAGGATGCCTGGGTATTAGTTTTATTGCGGTTCATATTAGTTTTATTGCGGTTCTTCATACAATGCACATACATGACAACTGTCATGAATGCAGTTTGGTTTTGAATTTTATTTTGGGTGTATGGAAAAACAAGGTCTCACTCTGTAGCTCTGGCTGTCCTAGAACTTACTATATAGGCCTCACAAGCGATCCACCTGCCTCTGCCTCCTGGATGCTGGGATTAAAGGTGTTTGGTGTGTGTCACCATGCCAAGCCCCCACTGTATAATTCTTCTGATCAAAGAAATGGCACTGAAAGGGAAGGGGCCTAGGAAGGGCACAGTACCTTGATTTTGGCCCCCAGCATCTCAGCAGCATCCTTCTCCCGTCGCAGGTCCTCCATCTTTTTTTCTTTCTCCTTCAGCAGCCTCATCTTCTCCTCTGCAACCAAGCTGTGATCCTCTACAATGGCCCGCTTCTCAATCTCCAGTTTTTCTTGCTGTTCCCGCCAGTAATCATCCTTATCATCCCCTTCCTCCTCACCCTCTTCTCCCTCCTCCTCCTCCTCTTCCCCACCCCCACCACTGCCACCACCTTCCCTCCGCTTCTCTCGCCTCTTCCTCCTGCCAATGGAACGTTTTTCCAGCTGGGCCTTGAGCCGAGCAATTTCTTCCTGGAATTCTCGAAGCAGAGCATCCTTTGGGTCCTCATTGACCCTTGGCTTGTTCTTAATGTTTTTGGCACGATTGGCATATCTCAGAGTGGTCAGGGTCTCTTCTACATTGTAAGAGGCAGGCCCCACATTGGCTACCATCACAGTTTTGGCATTGCCACCAAGGGAATCCTGGAGAAGCCTAGTCAGCTTTGAGTCTCTATATGGAATATGGGTGCTTTTGCCATCTACCAGGGCAGAGATAACATTACCCAAGGCTGAAAGGGACAGGTTGATTTTGGTCGCTTCCTTCAGTCTTTCCCCTTGAGCGCCAGTCTTGGCTTGCCGCTCACTGCCAGCAAGGTCTACAAGGTTTAGTTTTCCTACCCGGATGTGGTTTTCACCATCTAGGCCCACCTCGCTGCATTCGATCGTGATGACAAAGATTGCATGTGATCGTGAGCTGTGCTCGTTCATGTTGGTGGCACCGACAGATCGGTTCTGGTTCCCCACATTCATCACATGCTCTATCTCCTTCACACTTTTGGTGACAAAGGAAGACAGATCCTTCACGTACACGCCTGTATCGGGCCTTTCTTTGAGCTCCAGCCTTTTGGTCTGGTCCTTTGAGAGCAAGTCTCGGATCTCTTCCTGATAGATCTCTAAGTAAGAGGCCCTGACCAGGTACTGCTGATTCTGCGATCGAGAGATGTGGGTGAAGATGTGATCAAATGAGTTGGGGATGACCCCTCTTTTTTCAGGGTCACCACGGACTCCCTCCATGGTATAGGTTTTCCCAGTTCCCGTTTGTCCGTAGGCAAAAATTGTGCCATTGAAACCCTGTAGGACAGAGTCCACAAGTGGACGGAACGTCTCGTCATAGAGTTCAAATTGCTTGGCATTCCAATCATAGACGGCATCGAAGGTGAAGGTCTTGGGCATCTCATGGGATGTGCCTTTGGGGTTCTTCACAGACACCTGCCCCAGCTTCACATCCACATCTACCACTTTGTCATAGGATGCGGCCTTTTCTTTGCCATTCATGGGTCGACAGCGAACCACCACCCGGACTGACTCTGAGCTTTTTAACTTGGACATGATGAACTCTGACAGCTTAGCCTTGAGGATTATGAATCCAAATGGCTCAGGATGCTAAGGTCCTAGGGAAAAAACAAAAGCAGTGAGCATGGTGCAGCTATCATCAGGGCTGCCTGACAGCAGTGGGTACAGCAGCCACCCTCACTTGCGAAGCTTCTGATAGCCGCATTTAAGCATTTTAGTACACTGAGTATTTCTCCTCATGGGACCTTAAGCAGCTTCAGTAGTAAACAACTCCAGTCCACTAATATTGATTCTTATCCACCCTCAATCAATATTTGACTTTATACCATAAGTAGAAACTCCGGAAGCTTTTACCTTACTTTTTTCTTTTCTTTTCTTTTCTTTTTTAAGAGAAAGAGGCTCAACCTTATCTCCTAATCCTCCTGCCTCCATCTCCAAGTGCTAGGATTACAAGCATGAAATATCATAGTTTTGTTTTGTGGGTGTTTTTTTTAAGATTTTTTTTTTACTTTTAAATTATGCATATATGTGCTCTGTGTGGGGATGTGCACTAGTGCAGATGCCCATGGAGGCCAGAAGAGGATGCAAGATCCCCTGAAGCTGTAGTTAGAGATGGCTCTGAGTCTCCTGACAGGGGTGCTAGAACTGAACTCCACTCTGCTGGAAGAGCACTAAGTGTTCTTAACCACTGAGCCATCTCTCCAGCCCTCACTACAAGTCTTTTTTAAAAAAAAAAAAAAAAGGCTGGGTGGCCTTATATCCTATGAACTATTAAATCCCTAAGGACAGGAACTTGAAATGATCAAAATTTTAAATGTACAGGGGCCAGCAAGATGGCTGCCACCAAACCTAAGGGCTTAAGTTCAGTCCCTGGGATCCACATGGTAGGAGAGAATTCTAACATGTTGTCCTTTGACCTCAACACACTCTAAGACTTGTCCATACATGCATACACACAGAGAGAGATAAATAAAATGTAATAAAATTGTTTCCACCCTTTCAATGCACAGACCTTTTGGCATAACAATCCTAAGGATTTATCCTACAGACAAGCGTCTCTCCTGGGTTATCTGTTGTGACACTGTGATAGCAAGAGAGTGGGGGCAACTCTCTGGGTGCTAGTGGCACACACCTTTCATCCCAGCACTCAGGAGGTGAAGGCAGGTGGATCTCTGTGAGTACAGGCCAGCCTGGTCTACAGAGTTAGTTCAGGATAGCCAGGGCCACACAGAGAAACCCTGTCTTGAAAAAAATATGAAAAAAATAAAAAAGAATGAGACAAGTCCAGTTTCCATTAAGAGGTATGATTAAATATATACATACAGGGAAATCCAGCGTAGTTTTATTTTTGTTGTTTGTTTGTTTTGTTTTGTTTTTCGAAACAGGGTTTCTCTGTAGCTTTAGAGCTTGTCCTGCTAGCTCTTGTAGACCAGGCTGGCCTCGAACTCACAGAGATCCGCCTGTTTCTGCCTCCTGAGTGCTGGGATTAAAGGCATGTGCCACCACGGCCCCGCCAGTGTAGTTATTTTTAATTTAAACAAATTCATACCAGGGGGCTGAAGAGATGGCTCAGTGGTTAAGAGCACTGCCTGCTCTTCCAAAGGTCCTGAGTTTAATTCCCGGCAACCACATGGTGGCTCACAACCATCTGTGGTGGGGTCTGGTGCCCTCTTCTGGCTTGCAGACATACACACAGACAGAATATTGTATACATAATAAATAAATATGAAAAAAAAAACAAATTCATACCAAAATCTAATAGGTCAATAGGTGAAGAAGCACAGTGTATGGTTACACAGTGGGAGCTTACCAGGGGGCACAAGAGTGGACCCTAATGCCAAGTACGGACTGAGGGATAGCTCAGCAACAGCACATGTTAGCAAACAAAGGCTGACTCAATTCCCAGCACCAGAACAAACACACATGAAAGGCACACAAGAAAATAACCAGGTAAAGAGGTAAAGGGGGGGAGGGGAAACATGGGCTCCAGGCAGCCTGCAGGCCTAGCATTTGAGAGGCAAGTCTGTGCTTCATAACATGGCCTTGTTTCGGGTGGCTCAGGTGCCATGTACAAGACTGTGAGTTCTATCCCCAGCACCACAAAAGGGTACGCATATAATAGGCCTGACAGGCACTTGGTGTCACACAGTCTCAACAGGGGAGCCACTGGGCCACAGGACTCACTGTGTACTGGCTTGCATGCTTGAATACCTTAGCTGGTGCTGGGAATACCTCTCAATTCTAAGAATCAATAAAAAAATGGTTTATGCAAAATAAACTTGTACTTGTGAGTGAAGATGTGGAATAGCACACTGCATTCAGCCATCGATTTAATACATTCTGAATGCAAGGAGGAAAAGGGCAAAAAAATATTTTAAAGAAAAAGAAAAACAGAAGCTCATTTGCTGCCAGGAAACTCAGAAGGCAGAATGGGTGGCTGGATGTGTCTCTAGGAAAGACAAAGGAGAGACCAGATCAGAGCCAAGAGGGACACAGAGACCACAAGCTCCTGATAACCTCAGTGTGGGAATTAAAAACAAAACAAAACAAAACAAAAACCCAGAGGATTCAGGTTTAAAAATTAGTATTCAAAAGTCCTTTTATGCCTGCAGGCCAGAAGAGGGCACCAGATCCCATTACAGATGGTTGTGAGCCACCATGTGGTTGCTGGGAATTGAACTCAGGACCTTTGGAAGAGCAGGCAAAGCTCTTCCTGAGCCATCTCTCCAGCCCCTCAAAAGCCCTTTTAGAGACAAGCGTTGCTCCCTAGCCATTCCCCAGCCACCTAGTTTTCTTGGCCACAGACAAAAATCATTAGATCTTTTCCTTCTATCTTTATTTTCAGTGTATGGGTGTTTGGCCTGCATGTATGTCTATGCATCACATGCATGGAGTGCCTGCAGCAGACAGAGGCAGCATTGGATCCCCTGAGACCGCAGTTACTACTGATGATTGTGAGCTCCCATATGGGGGCTAGGAATTGAACCCAGGTCCTCTCAAAGAACAGTCAGTTCTCTTAAAGCCCTGGGTCATCTCTCTAGTCCCATTATTAGATTTTCAACCTAATATTTTAACAATGTGATGTTATGCACAGCAATACACAATGGTTTGCATCTTGCTCTTTCTTACTACAACCTATCTTGAAGTTCTTATCCTCAACAAATAGGACAGCAGCATAATATCCCACTGTACAGATACATCATAACTTATTTAATCTCTGCTCCAGGTGCACTTGGGTTGCTGGATGTGGCAGTGCACAACTGTAATTCCTGAATTTACCCAGCTGAGGCAGGAGGATTATGGGCTTGAGGCCAGGCTGGGCTCCATAGTAAGACCTGTCTCAAGCAACAAATAAAACAATAGATAGCTGTTTCTGATAGTCCACTGTGAAAAATCCAGGAAACAATCATTTCTTGTGTGGACAAATATATCTGAAAAAGTAAATCCAAAGAAGTTGAATTGCTGAATCGAAGAATGCACACATCTGTAACTGTAGCATGCAGAAGAGCTGGAGTTACCCTACACAAAGAATGCACACATCTGTAACTCTAGCATGCAGAAGAGCTGGAGTTACCCTACACAAGGGATGCACACATCTGTAATTCTAGCATGCAGAAGAGCTGGAGTTACCCTACACAAGGGATGCACACATCTGTAACTGTAGCACGCAGAAGAGCTGGAGTTACCCTACACAAGGGATGCACACATCTGTAACTGTAGCACACAGAAGAGCTGGAGTTACTTTACACAAATAATGCACACATCTGTAACTCTAGCATGCAGAAGAGCTGGAGTTACCCTACACAAGGGATGCACGCATCTGTAACTCTAGCATGCAGAAGAGCTGGAGTTACCCTACACAAGGGATGCACACATCTGTAATTCTAGCATGCAGAAGAGCTGGAGTTACCCTACACAAAGGACAATGTTCCTCCCAGAAGCCATAAGTTGCCAAATGAAAAAGTCCAATGCCACATGCAGAATACTTCAAGCAGTTGGTCAGGTCAGTGGTGTCCCAGAAACTTCCAAATAATAAAGATTATGGTTACTGCTCTTGCTTGACCACCAGAACTTAATGCTAGGAGCCTACTGCTGAAGACACTACACAAAGTGGTCAAAGGAATGAAGAAAATCAAGTTGGTACCAATCAGGAAGCTTCCTTCTTGTAGGTTAGCTTTCCAAATCCTGAAGGTGCTAGGTAGGCTGCTGTGAGTCCTGCAGACTACAGTGACTGGTGTGGTCAGTTGTGCACATGGGTGCAGTAGTGGCAGGGATAATATGGAGGTAGCCAGCTGATTTCTGGTTGGATTTAAGGTTGACTCCACAGTGGGGAATGTGTGCATTGTACTGGAAATCTAGACATGAACCCATGGAGAGGGAGCTCACAGACTCTAAGAATGAACCTACCATTTGATAAATGGACATAATATCAAGCTGAGCCCTGCATTTGCATCTCTATACCCATACATAGCACAGTTCTCGACTTCACCAGAGAAGCTTCTTTGTGTAACAGACAGTAGTTAATGCAGGAACTCACACTTGGCCGAGTGCAGAGAATCAGTCCTGTGTGCTCAGCCACACATGGGACATCCATATCACCCTCCCCCTGTACAAGAGACCATGGCAGAAGAAGGGGCAGAAGAGACTGTTAAAGCCAGAGTTCAGGGAGGACTGGAATGAAGTAGATCCTTCTGAACATGGCAGGACCCCTGCACTCAGGACCTCCCAGCGGCTGTGGGTGCTCATACAAGATCAAGCCAGTCAACACTCTAGTGTGCATGGGAGAGGGGCTCATGAGCCCCCACCCCTCCCTGAGGAACTGTTGACAACTGAAGGCTTCTGGGGAACAGTGAGTCAACCATACTCCAGTGGATGGCCCTGAATCCATGTATATATGAAGCATATACTGGATTTGGAGGCCCTACTGAAAAAGAAAAAGCTAAGAAAAGAAAGCATGATGCTGGAGGGGCCAGGGGAGGTAGATCCAGGAGGAAAGAAAAGGAGGGGTAGGGGAGAGGGTAAATGGAATCAAAAGACATTCATGCTATTCTCAAAGAATTGATGAAATATTACATTAAAAAGTCAAAATAAAAATTAG